GCTGACCACAAATTATAGACTAGTAAAATATATGATTTTAAAAATTTTTATAAAATTTTTACAAAAATTCTCATGAAGAAACCATAATTCAATAGCTAATGTTTTTGCCAATTAAATATCGAGGCACTTCATTTCCTATCGGGTATATTTTCATACCTTATTTCATCACGTTCCTGAGATGGTCTATGGAATAAACATACCCAAATTGTGGCAAAAATTATAACTAGTATACCTGTTATACTATCAAGCATTTTAATAAATGACGGTGACCCTTGATCATTGATGGGGCGACATGGAATTGTAATAGTTACTATAGGAAGTCTTTTTGTTACGGTGGTTGTTTTGGTTGTTGTTTTGGTTGCTGTTTTAGTTGTTGTTATTGTTGCTGTTTCGGTTGTTGTTTTAGTTGTTGTTATCGTTGCTGTTTCGGTTGTTGTTTTAGTTGTTGTTTTAGTTGTTGTTTCGGTTGCGGTTTTAGTTGTTGTTACCGTTGTCACTACAGGTGTTGTAACAGTATGTTGTTACGGTGACTGATAAAGTATCTGTCACATGCTTTGTTACAGTAACTGTTATAGTTTCATCCGGATGACATGTTAATTTTCCACAACATGCACATGATATTCTATAACCATATTCACAGGTTCCGCCAGAAGGATTACATTCATATACATTGTTCGGATTGCATCCTGATGTTAAAAAAATAAAATTAAAATTAAAATAAAATAAAAACTAATAAAACAGAAAGGTTTTGATTTATTTACATACCAATTTGACCACCACAATATTGTCCCTGTGGAAGTTTAGGACATTTACATGTAGTATTATAGTCACATTTATAAACTTCTTGATTGTGAACGGAAGTAAAGAATACAAGAAATAACAATATTAAAAGGTATTTGAAATCCATTTAAATGAAAAAAAAAATCATGTACAAGTTCTTTTATATAGTATTTAGTATTTTAAAAACAAAATATAGCATTCGTATATTTTATTTAAATATACAAACTTTTGACGATCATAAATTTTATTGGGCTGATACGTATTAAACTTTATTAGAATTCCTTTATTGAATTGTGCAGCATATATCAGTACTAAAGATGTTAATGTAATTAAATTAGCGATGCGTAGCATCAGCTGGCAGTTTCCCATCTGCATAAAGCAGACCGATAAATAATCATAAGTTATTAATATATATTTAGTAGAATTAGCAATATTTAACATCTCCGGTGGCATAAAGCAGTCGGCAAAATGACAGCATTCTACAAAGGGAGAAAGGGATCGGGTGCGGATCTAAATCACTTTCTCGAATGTATGTACTGTATACTGAAACTTCTTTTATCCAACTTGGCGTTCATCGTCATGTGCTTAATAAATTTTACGCCTGATTTCCAAAACAAGCAGTATATTAAACTATACTTGCTCACTCTGTTTTCATTCACTGTCATTAAACAGGTTCAAGAGTTGTTAATGCCAATTTAGAAGCAAGGTTTCTATGCAGTTGAAAACGTAACATGTCATTGTTTAGCTATCTTATCGATCTGTTGACCATTTTTACATAGGTTACTATATACATGAAGCTGTGATGGTTAATTTGTGAATTATTGCGAGATACTCAAATTAATAAATATGTTAACAAGGTCATAACGATAGATGCAGACTTATGACATCACCTAGTTACGTCCTATATAAATAATCGGTTTATAAAATAAACCACAATTGAGCC